CTTCGAAGGCGCGCGCCGCGACAGCCTGTCGGCCGGGCATTTTTTTTTCCCACCGCTCTCGGCGATAAGGCAGGGCAAGGATTTCGCGCGGCGCTGGCTGCCGGCGCCGACGGTCAACCCTCGGCCCCGCCTGTTCCGACGCCGCGCAGCTGTGGCGGCGACGTCGGCGAGCCACGGGCGCCCGCCGCCCGGTTGCCGTCGCCGCCCGCCTGGGCGATCGCCCAGCCCGCCCGCCGCGCCTGGGCGAAGGCGAGGTCCATGGCCGAGACGCCCAGGCTGGAGCTCCGCGGCGTCGCCCCTCCGCCGCGGCTGGGCGCAGGCGACGGCCCCAGCGGGCTGGGCTCGCGCTTGTGGGCCCCAGCCCACGCGGCGTTCGAGCTGGGGGGCTTCGGCGTCGTCAAGGCGAAGGCGCGCTGCTGCCAGGGCGACGCTCGGGGCGGCGAGCTCGCGCAGGCCCGCCCGTGGGGCAACGGCCGCGCCAGCGCCGCTGCCGAGGCTGAAGCTGGCCATCGCCGCGAGGACGGCGCCGCTGTCAAGGGGCCCCAGGGGCCCCAGGGCCGCGGCGAGTGAATGCCCCGGGCACCGGCAGTGCCCTATGGCCGCGCGGTCAAAGACTCCTCTGGGATTCTAGAGGTCGAGGATCGCCGCTGGGTCGCGTTCTCGGAGCCAGAGACGGAGGCCGCTCGGAAGGGCCAGCAGGCGGCCCAGCAGCAGCGGCCCGACGGCGGCAGGTGCGCAGCCGCAGCCAGCGGAGTTAACTTAGCAGCAGCGGCGCTCGCCACGGGGCACGCGCCGGCATGCGGTCGGCGCGGGCACGGCGACGACCAGGTGGGGCCAGTCGCCGGAGCGTCGCGCGGCGCCCGCCCAGAGCGCGGAGGCGCGGAGAACCGCGGGGGCCTCTGGGGGCGCGGGTTGCACCCAAAAGACCGCCACAAGAAAAGGGGCGAGCGGCGCCTCGCCTGCCCCCCCTTCCCCGAAGAGGCCAATCTGGAATGCCTGGCCCGGGTCGGCTCGCAGCCTGAATGTGGCGCCGATGACAGCGGTGGGCCTACTGCCCTTCCAGGAGGGGGCCGCGCCGTTCCCGCCGCAGCTGTCGGCGATGGGGGCGGGGGCCGTGGCCCCAGCCTTTTGTGGGGGGCGGTGTTGCAGCCCTTGGCGCCCGAGGCCCGCGGCCGCGCAGACATGGCGGCCCGCGGCTTTGTCGACGACGAGCTGGCGGGCTGGGCCGAGGCGGCATCGGCCCGCGTCGAGGAGCGCAGCGCGCCGCCGCCGCCTGAATCGCAGAGGAGGACCCGGCGGCGAATGCAGCGCCAGGGGAGGCTAGGCGCAGACGACCGCTAGCCCGCCCAGTGCGCAACAAATCGAATGAGCTGCATCATGCTTTTGCGCGGTGGGCGCCTTCCCGACGCGATCGGGGCGGGCCCGTCCGCTGCTTTGCCCATTGTATCGGGGCGCGCCCTATTGTTCCGAGGGTGGGCGCCGATCCTGGGGGGCCGAGGCCGCCAGGTGGGGGCCGCCTCCTGCGCGCGCAACAGTGTTTTGCTTCCGGGCACCGAATCCCATTCCTTTCCATTCGCACGTCCACGACAGACCAGCACGGCAGACCAGAGGACACGGCAGACCAGCATGGCAGACCACATGAGCACAGGAGACCACAGGGGGCACGGCAGACCAACATGGTTAACCGACAACAGAAACCTTTGTCGTCCGCGCGTCATTTCCGAGCTTTCGTCACGGATCTGAACAGGATGTTCTCTCATTGGCCTCGTGGGCGAAAAGTGGCGATTGCCATTATTGTTCAGGTGCGTTCTTTAGTTTCCAGTAGCGACATCGACGCGGTCGCCATCCATATGCGCCCACCTTCCACCTTCTCCATATAATCACGCTCGCCCTCGTGACTTCCATCGTTCGCGCGGTCATCCTGCTCATCTTCTCTCTCATCCTTCTATCGCCCCGACCATTTTCTCATATGCCTCGGCCCCTTGCCCCCCCTCCCCCCCCCCCTCCTCTGCCCTCTCCCCCGCCCGGCCCCCGCTCTGCACTTCTGTTCCCCAGTTTGTGTCCCCCCCTCCTGCTTGCCCGTCCTCCAGCCCCCCAGCCCCCCCCTCCACATGCTCTGTCACCCCCTCAACCTGTCCGCGTCTCTCCCCCGCCCGGGGCAGGGGGAGGGGAAGAACGACGCGGGAACGACGACGACAAAGATACGGATTACGAGGACGAGAGCGGGGGCAATGATAAGGAGGAGAAGGAGGAGGGGGACGAGGAGGATACCGAGGAGGAGGAGGAGGAGGACGACGACGACGACGACGAGGAGGAGTAATAAACCCATTATTTTCCTTCCTCCTTCTCATCCCCCTAATCCTTTTCCTTGTTCTGCTTCGCCGCCCTCCCCACGGCCGTGCCGCACATTGCGCGTGGAGCACGCCAGCGCGGCGACCATGTCGTGCTCCGCGGCAGACCAGCCGGCAGATCACAGGAGCACGGCGGGCCAGCTTGGCAGACCCTGTGAGCACGTCGGACCCATGCGGCAGACCACAGCAGCATGGTTGACCATCACGGCAGACCACAAGAACACGGGGCTGTCCACAGCAGCGCGGTAGACCAAAGGTGCACGGCTGACCAACATGATGAGCCGAGGGCGGATATTTTGGGTGTGTGCACGTCGTTCCCATGTCTTGACAGGTTCCCACACGGACGTGTGTTGACACATTTCGTGGGCAAGAACGACCATTCCCGCGTTTGCCCGCTCAGGCTATGTAGTTTCCAGTGTCGACATCACCACGGTCACCGTCTACATGTCCAATGCATGCATGCTCTCTCTCTCCCTCTCTCTCTCTCTCTTTCTCTAGCTCTCTCTCTCTCTCTTTCTCTCTCTCTCTCTCGTTTTCTCGCTCTCGTTGTCCCTCTCTCGCTCTTTATCTTTTTTTGTTGTTTGTTTCTCTCTCTCTCTCTCGTTCTCTCTTTCTCGCGTTTCTTCTCTTTCTCAACCTGATCATGCTCGCCCTCGCACGTCCGTCGTTCCCGCGGTCACCCTCCTCATCCTCAATCTCGCCCCTCCTCTCTCCCCGACTTGTCCTTCATATTTGTCTTTCCCCATCGCCCCCGCCATTCCTCCGCTGTCCTCGTCTTCTCCCTGCCCCCGTTCTACGTTGCCCGTCCCTGTTTGTGGTCCTCCTCCCCTGTTTGCTCGTCGCCCCGCCCCCCAGCCACCCCGTCCTCCCCCCTCTATATTCTTCTGCCACCCCCTCCGCCCGCCCGCGGCACTT